TGAAAAACATGGAATTCTTGAGGGAGGAAATGTGAGAATTCCTGAGGGTGAAATTGTGGAGTTCCTGAGGGAGAAACATGGGATTCCTGAGGGGGGAAATGTGGGATTTCCCATCCTGATCCCGGGGTGTCCCCAGGGAAGGGTTTGATCCCCACTTTTGTCCCAAAGGCGCAGCAGCTGGTCGCCATTTGCCGGGAATACATCGTGGGCTTGTCCATGGAGATCGAGAGGAAGAAACTGCCCAAGGAGACGCTGGAGCAGCAGAAGAGAATCTGTGAGGTGAGGGAGGCCTGAGGGGAAAAACAAGGAATTCCTGAGGGGAAAACGTGGAATTACTGAGGGGAAATGTGGGAATTCCTGAGGAGAAAATGCAGGATTTCTGAGGGGGAAAACACAGAATTCCTGAGGGAGGAAATGTGGGTATTAGTGAGGGGGAAATGTGGGAATTCCTGAGGGGGGAAATGTGGGAATTCCTGAGGGGGAAAATGTGGGAGTTCCTGTGGTGGAAATGAGGAAATTTCTGAGGGGGAAAACAACGAATTCCTGAGGGAGGAAATGAAGGACTTACTGAGAGGAAAACACAGAATTCATGAAGGGGAAATGTGGGATTCCTGAGGGAGGAAATGAGGAAATTACTGAGGGGAAAATACAGAATTCATGAGGGGAAAATATGGGAATTTCTGAGGGGAAAACAACGGAATTCCTGAGGAGGGAAATGTGGAATTCCTGAGAGAGGAAATGAGGGAATTACCAAGGAGAAAACACAGAATTTATGAGGGCGAAATGTGGGAATTACTGAGGGGAAAACACTGAATTCATGAGAGGAAAATATGGGAATTTCTCAGGGGAAAAACATGGAATTCTTGAGGGGAAATGTGAGATTCCTGAGGTGGTAAAAACCTCACTGGAAATTTGGAATTCTGCCTTCAACACAAACACAACAGGGAAAAGAGGGATTCCTTGTCATAATTCCCATTATTCCCAAGGATTTTAACCCTTGCTTTCCCTGGCAGATGGCCGCCTACTTCACGCACTCCAACCTGCAGCCGGTGCACATGATCCTGGTGCTCCGCACCGCCCTCAACCTCTTCTTCAAGCTCAAGAACTTCAAAAGCGCCGCCACCTTCGCCCGGCGCCTGCTCGAGCTTGGCCCCAAGCCCGAGGTGGCCCAGCAGGTGAGACCCCAAAGGCCCTGTCCCCAATGGCCCTGTCCCCAAATGGCCCTGTCCCCAAACCCAGTGGGTGAGACCCCAAATGGCCCTGTCCCCAATGGCCCTGTCCCCAAACTCAAGGTGAGGTCCTCAGGTGAGGCCCTCAAGTTGGGAAACACCATTTTTGGGTTGTTCTTACCCCAAACCCCCCTTGTGACACCGTTTTTGGGGTGTCCTTGTCCCCAAACCCGAGCTGAGGCCCTCAGGTGTGGAACCCTTCCTGTGAAACCATTTTTGGGGTATCCCTGTCCCCAAACCCTTGCTATGATGCTGTTTTTGGGGTGTCCTTGTCCCCAAACCCGAGCTGAGGCCCTCAGGTGTGGAACCCTTCCTGTGGAACCATTTTTGGGGTATCCCTGTCCCCAAACCCCCACTGTGACACCATTTGTGGGGGGCCCTTGTCCCCAAACCCGAGCTGAGGCCCTCAGGTGTGGAACCCTTCCTGTGAAACCATTTTTGGGGTATCCCTGTCCCCAAACCCCCACTGTGATGCCGTTTTTGGGGTGTCCTTGTCCCCAAACCCGAGCTGAGGCCCTCAGGTGTGTAACCCTTCCTGTGAAACCATTCTTGGGGTATCCCTGTCCCCAAACCCTCGCTATGACGCCGTTTTTGGAGTGTCTTTGTCCCCAAACCCCAGCTGAGGCCCTCAGGTGTGGAACCCTTCCTGTGGAACCATTTTTGGGGTATCCCTGTCCCCAAACCCCCACTGTGACACCATTTGTGGGGGACCCTTGTCCCCAAACCCGAGGTGAGGCCCTCAGGTGTGTAACCCTTCCTGTGAAACCATTTTTGGGGTATCCCTGTCCCCAAACCCCCACTGTGACACCATTTGTGGGGGACCCTTGTCCCCAAACCCCAGCTGAGGCCCTCAGGTGTGGAACCCTTCCTGTGAAACCATTTTTGGGGTATCCCTGTCCCCAAACCCCCACTGTGACACCATTTGTGGGGGGCCCTTGTCCCCAAACCCAAGCTGAGGCCCTCAGGTGTGGAACCCTTCCTGTGAAACCATTCTTGGGGTATCCCTGTGTCCAAACTCCCACTGTAAGCCATTTTGTGGTGTCCCCGTCCCCAAACTCCCATTGTGACCCATTTTGGGGTGTCCCCGTCCTCGTGCTCACGGCGCCGCCGTTCCCAGACGCGGAAGATCCTGGCGGCGTGCGAGAAGAACCCCATCGACAGCCACCAGCTCAACTACGACCAGCACAACCCCTTCNGGGAATGGGATCAGGGCTGGGATTGATTGCTGGGAATGGGATTGATCAGGAATGGGATTGGAATTCCTGGGAATGGGATCAGGGCTGGGATTGATCCCTGGGAATGGGATCAGGAATGGGATTGATCCTTAGAATGTGATTGACCCCTGGGAATGGGATCAGGAATGGGATTGGAATTCCTGGGAATAGGATCAGGGCTGGGATTGATTGCCAGGAATGGGATCAGGACTGGGATTGATTGCTGGGAATGGGGTTGATTGCCGGGAATGGGATTGACCCCTGGGATTTGGGATCAGGACTGGGATTGATCCCTGGGCATGTGATTGACCCCTGGGAATGGGATCAGGAATGGGATTGACCCTTAGGAATGTGATTGATCCCTGGGAATGGGATTGATCAGGAATGGGATTGGAATTCCTGGGAATGGGATCAGGACTGGGATTGACCCCTGGGAATGGGATCAGGGCTGGGATTGATCCCTGGGAATGGGATCAGGACTGGGATTGGAATTCCTGGGAATGGGATCAGGGCTGGGATTGATTGCTGGGAATGGGATTGACCCCTGGGATTTGGGATCAGGACTGGGATTGATCCCTGGGCATGGGATTGATCCCTGGGAATGGGATCAGGACTGGGATTGATCCCTGGGCATGGGATTGATCCCTGGGAATGGGATCAGGACTGGGATTGA